CAAATAATATCTGTCGGTGAATGGGTCGTAATCGGATAACGTTTATCTCAAAAGAGATTCTCAAGTGAGCTTCTTGGGGGCAAGATGAGGTGGCTGATCCGTGTGAGATAGTAAGGAATCAGAGTGATACAACAATGAAGTCGATCACTTAGTTTTTGATCGCTTCAATGAAAATTCTGATCCCACATCAGTTATATTGCTTGTCTCTACAGCCAGGGAACCAGTCGTGAATCCACCACAACAAACAATCGACGAGGGTTCCTCGGCCAGATTCCAGTGTTACGTGCCCGGTGATCCAAGCGCCCAAATCAGTTGGCATCGCCAAGATGGTGCCCCGTTGGGCGCAGACGTGAGCGAATCGAACGGAATGCTAACCATCACAAATGCACAAGCCTCAGATGCTGGTGCTTATGTGTGTCACGCACAGCAAGCACATACCACTCAGCCAGCACTCTCATCACCCGTTTACTTGAATGTTAATCCGCAACAGTGTACGTTTCGCGCTTATCTCATGCAATCTTTCAACATTTCATCCGGGATTTCTATTTGAATATACCCGTCATCATCACGATAACAGGCATTCACAACTTGAGTAAGAAATGCGATACAGAACGTTCCCAGTGAATTCATGATCACTGTTCGTAAACTTTGAACTTTCAATGGTTGTTATTCAGTCACGAGATCAGTGAGATATCAGAAGCTTGTGATGTCAGAATCAGAAGAACTATAGTTACCAGTAAGTAAAACCAGAAAGTGATTGATATCATAGACTTGAACGTACGTACGCAGTGCTTTTGAGCATATTTACGTATTTGCGTTTGTGATAATGTATTATGTATGTGTATCACGTATCACACATATTTATCACATATACGTCATGAGATGAGATCAAATGTATCGATTCGGATACACCTTAAAATGCAGGACNTTTAAATTCACTGTTTATTATGTTTGTTTTCTTTGCAATCACTTAAATGGTTTTATGCGGCTTGTGGAAGGTGAGTTTTGAGGTTGGTGTTAATTATTCCAATCGGCGGCTCATAATATTGATACTATTAAATTGATACTATTGATAATCGGCGGCTCAATACTATCAAATGATTTTCGCTTCACTGATACGATTTGCAACTGGGACCAAATTCTGTTTCAGCTGTTCATCCGGTTGTCGATCCACCATCGCAAAGCGTCGACGAAGGATCACCAGCACGATTCAGATGCTATGTACCCGGAAATCCGAGCGCTCAGCTAAGTTGGCGTAAAGAGGACGGAAGTGCGCTTGGCTACGATGTGACCGACAGTCAAGGAATGCTATCATTCTCGAGGGCGTCACCCTCAGATGCTGGTGCTTACATCTGCTCATTCCAAGACCCACACGGTGGAGCTCCAGTGCAGTCATCGCCAGCATACTTAGGAATCAATCCACGAAGACGTCAGTGCCGTTATGAATTTCAAAAACATTGTAGTCGTGCAATGTTATCATCATTATTGTGATTGAAATTGCGTTAATCATTATCATCACCTTATGTCTCCATTCAATCTATTCACTCGCATGAAGTCATTACTGTCTACACTTCAGCCAGCAATCCAGTCGTTGAACCTCCATCACAAACCGTTGATGATGGTGATCATGCTAAATTCCGTTGTTTCTTGCCGGGCGTCCCAGATGCACAAATCACATGGCGTAAGATGGACGGTAGCCAACTGGGACCAGATGTCTCTGACAATCGTGGAATGTTGACATTCCAACGCGCACAATCGTCTGATGCTGGTGCATACATCTGCACGGCTCAAGATTCACGAGGAGGACATCCAGTCGATGCACCACCTGCGTATCTAAACGTTAACCCGAGAAAACGTCAGTGCATTTGCTTGAAATTCCAGCGTTTTAAGAACTGCTCCCAACCGTTGCCGAAATTTTCAAATAGCGTTGAGTTCAAATGAGTTTGATTCTGAGTGCAACCAACGTGTGTGCTTCGGAGCAGTTCTACTGCGGAATTGGGACACTGAGCATGAAGAATGAATATTTGTTTTGGGTGATGATTATGTTTTAGTGTTATGATAAGAACAATCCTATTGTATTATGAGCTCCTGAGGATGTCGTGCAAATAGCAGTAAATAGCTATTGTCCTTCTGAAGCAATGCACTATCTTTCTATAGAGAGCAATTTTGACAGCTGCGATTAGTCATGGAAAAAATAGTGCTGAAGTATACTTGTTCCCATCGATGACTTGAGAAGTTCAATTGGAAATGTGTGATTTTACTGAATCCGGTGTAGACTTTTGGTATTTCAGCTGGTACGGCACCAGCGTTGATGATCGATCCATCATCACAAACTGTAAACGAGAATGAACCAGCACAATTCAAATGCTGGGTACCTGGTGTGTTGGCTTGTGAACTCACATGGCATCACGAGTACATCGGTGGTCCACTACCTTATGGCGTCTACCAGAGTGGTGGCATCCTTAAGATTCCACGTGCGCAACTGCATGATGCTGGCAACTATATTTGTACTGCATCAAATCAATATGGCATTGGACAGTCGCCTCCGGCACATTTGACTGTCAACAGACGTCAGTTTTCAGTTCATTCTCGTCGTATGATTTCTTTCTTCGAGGACGCTTCCTCAGAATTCTGTTCGTTGCTAAAATGAGATCTAGGACGAACTGTTTTCGAGATGAAGAGAACCTACTGTCCTTGAAGACAGAAAGGTTCCTTATTTAAGCCCTCGTCAATTGTTCAAATCCATAAGATCTCTATTACTATAGAATCATTCCTCTCCATACATGATATCGTTTTTCAGCACCTCAAGCACCACGTGTTGACCCACCAGAAATAACCGTAAACGACGGTGATCCAGCACGTTTCCGTTGTTGGGTACCTGGTGATCCAAGCGCAAAACTTGAATGGCATCTCAGGACCGGTGAGCCACTTCCACAGGGCGTACAAGAGAACGAGGGCATTCTGAACTTCCAGAGTGCACGTCAACATCACTCGAACGGATACGTGTGCACAGCAACCGACCCAGACGGTAGGAATCCTCCGATGCAATCGAGCGAAGTGCGACTAAACGTCAGAAAACGTATGTTTCCGCCAGATTCTTTACAGGAAGCTTTGTCGTTCCATGACAAACCTTGATGTCCATGAGGCAATTTTATCGTAACTGATCATTCGAAGTTCATGAGGTCGCTATTTGCGCAATTCAGGAACCTCACATTCTCGAAATTACTCAACAAACAAGCATTTAATTGTGAAATTTATCCGTTTCAGCATGCCGTTTGTCACACAGTTACCCATTTTGCATCCATTCACTACATTTAGTAAAAACCTTGCGATAGGTTCAAACTTTGCGATTGATAATCAGGGTTCGACAGCACTGATATGCTAAGCAGGGTTATCATCTTATCCCGTATTGAGTTCTGATGAACTTGACAAAAAGCCGATCTCGATCTAGCTTTTACATTTCTGCGGTCATTCAGCCGCTGAACTGGTCAAATTAGCACGTTCTTGAGTGGCTTTAGAGCACAGCATTTGGTTTTCTTCGACTTTTGTTCACGCTTCTCGTGTGGTTATTATCGTTGGAAGCGTTTGTCAGAAGAGGATAATAATCGCAATATTTGGTTCATCTCTTCTGTTGCAACATTATTTCATTTTTTTGCGAAATTCTCTTGTATCAGTTTTTTGTTGATCAGTTCAGTTGATTTTTTGCTTTCGTGAACGGATGACTGCTTTCGTTTGGGTTGGTTGAGCTGTCGCATTTTTGGACTTGTTGACTCACTGTTCCATCAGTTTCATTGATGATGCATATTTGATGGTTTCGAATGATTCTGACTGCATGAACAGGCACAAGTCGTTTGCAAACGAATATCAAATCAAAACAAATCATCTAATGATATTGCAAATTTGATTTTGCGTTTGCTCACTTATGGTTGACGTGAGAAGCACTCACAAATCGTACAACTCTATTCATTCTATCCAACCGATTGAGATTATCACATATTCTCATTGCGATATTCACTGCACATGATTATTTTGCTCTCTGAAAGAGAAAAAAGAACATTTTTTTTTTGGAAACTTCCGTTGATATTTTTCGTTCGATTTCTTCCTTTTTTGTTTATGATTTTATGCGACATCGTGAAATGTTTGCTGGTCGCACAGTATTCACCCCAACACACGCAACTATCGCTAAATTCTATGAATAGTGTTCATGATCCACTGCATCGTGAGCACATATCCTCCGGCGGAATACCCTCTGAATGTTTTTGGTGACATTCTGCAAAACATCCCGTTCACAGTTCTTCTGACTAGTCGCATTTTCCTCAGCTGAATAAGTTTAGTGTTGGGATTTATGGAGGATTAGGCCGCATTTGTGTCAGCCATATCAAATTCATCATCAAATTCACCATTCGAGCGATGCAGTTGACCATCGTGCCTATGATTTGACCAGCACTCGTTCACCCATTGATCCTTCTTCCATCAATGCAACTGAACAAACACACCTCACTCCACCCTTTACTCACTGATCACTCATTTCATCAGCACATTTTACAGCAAAAGCACCATCGGTTGAGCCCGCAACACTAACCGTTAATGAAGGTGATTCGATTGAAATCCGATGTTGGTCGGATGAGATCGAAGATGCTGAACTGCACTGGCGAAGAGCCGACGGCGATCCGCTTGGCTACGGTATTAGTGAGGCTAGAGACGGTACGCTATCGACCGACAAGGTACGCCTGGCAGATGCTGGCGAGTATATATGCTCTGCGACCGATCCACAAACCGAACACACCGCCGACTCAGAACCTGTACAGTTGAATGTTGGCTCGGAAAGTTCGTATTAACTGCGCGCACCTAAATATGTTACATTAGTTTCTTATTGACGACGTTGTTTGCTTTCTGAGGGTATCATTTCAATGAAGAACTCATCGATGCATTTTTCTTTATCAGTTCATTGCTTTTGGAGAGCAATTCAGCTTGAAATTACAACCAGAGGACTATTACGTTTAATATCGTTCCCTCTGCTGCTTTCTTGCGATCTTCCTCTATCTTACGTTCAGCAGTAGAAACCTCAGATTAAGTTTCAGTTTGTAACTGCTCGGAACAGTAGAATCACAGCCAATAGCTGTCACTAAAGTGGATGGTACTTTTCAATTTAAAGCTTTCAAATTGTGCGCGATGAGTTCAATGAATACCGTCAGAAATACTTTTGCATGATGTATTGCCAATTATTTTCTGTTCTATTTTTTGGTTACGTTGCTAAATTATTCAATGTTTCGTTGATTATGTTATCACTGAAATCGTCTCATCATTCTGAGTTCCATTTTTNTTTTTAAATGTTAAACATTATTTCACAAGACGTATTCATTCAACTTCGACATATGATTTTGCCCACACTCTTTCTGAGTTATTTTCACGCTTTCGCATGTACTATTTAGATGATAGCAGCTAAGACAACTAACCGCTTCGAATATTAATTTGCACATTCTTACTGCTTATCAGCTTACTTGCCCGCAATCAACGTTGATCGGTTCACAAACTGGAAGACATCTCAACCGTTTGACACTTCGCCGTTTGAAATGATTACATTAACAAGTATCTTTCATTTTCGGATATTTCAGATTATACAAATATAGGACAGATGCGATATAGGACAAGTCCTCACAGAATATCCAAAAGCACAGTTACACTGCGTTTCGTTAAGAATCACTGTGTTATCTGCATGAAACAACACCTCAATATTGATTTTGATACTGATGCTCCTTCATCCTTGACTGTTTGCCTCTCTGTACCAGAGTAATCACCTCAGTCGCTTGACACTTCCTCAGTATCCATTCTCCTAGCGACATCAATCCTTTTGTACACCGTTTCGCTTGAATGCTGCACCTTCGTATCTCACTAAATATTTTAGCTAACGAACGACCCGAGATAGACCCGCCGGAGCTGATCGTAAACGAAGGTGATCCGGCACAATTTCGTTGTTTTGTACACGGTAATCCGCATGCTCAACTTCGTTGGAGTCGAGAAGGCGATGAGCCGTTACCGCACGGTGTATCAGCGAATGGTGACGGCCAATTGTACATACCGAATTCACGACACAGCGATGCTGGCACTTACGTATGCTCACAAATCGATCCCCATCGAGGACATCAACCGATCGATTCCACTTCTGCCACACTTGTTGTGCATGCACGTAAGACAAACATCACCATCAACCACGAACACCCCACCCCGTTCACTTCATCCAATTATAATATCTCTATCAGTTTTGCTCGATAGCGATTCATTCTTATTCAATAGCTGCAACATGCAATCGCATGGTTGCAGTTAATGATAAGATAACGACGTCATCTAGAGCGATCGTGCATGCTTGATTGAGTCAAGCACTTGCAAATAAGTTATGATGCTAAAACTGAAAGGGATTTTATAATATTGCTCGTAAACATCGGTGATTTACCAACCCTTCGCTAAGTAGATCACGTTTTACCCTTTGTTACATTCTGTTTTTATGATCTTCAATTGTTTTTCATCTTATTCGCTTCGAACCCTTCTGCCCTTTTATATCTCCACGAGTTCTTCATTAGTTTCTCTCTGTTCGGATTTCCTTCAGTACGTTTCCCAGCTTTTCTTTTTAAATGATCGAGGTAGGTGCCAGTGATTGCGAGTGATTAATTCTCTAAGTGACTTTCGGGGCTAGTTCTAATCATTAAGAATTACGAGCTTGAAAACGACAGCTCAGTCATAACCTGGTTATGGGCCATTTGAAGACTTACTTCCTAAACACATGCATGAGTCAGCTTACAACCATCAGTCATAATTTGAAGTACTCATAACATTGTTGATTTCGTAGAATATTCACCTATCTTAACGAAACATATCCTTTGTGCCAACCAGCTCAATAACTCCCATTCTCTGCAATTCGAAATCCATGCTTTTTGAACCCATCACCCTGAAGTGTTCATTGCACGTCTTGTCAGTCAGTTATCCTTTAGAAGTGTTGATATATTCCCAGAACGGTGATGGCTGTGCTAAGTGAGTTGATTGATTCCATTGAGAGATTGATCGGAGTTCATTCTTCAGTCAATAATGTTATCGTAAATTCAACCGCTCAGCCGTCATCATGTCACTCACCTCCGTTGTGCAAAACCCATTCAATGATTGTTTTAAGCACGTCCACGAGTGGAGCATCCTCCTGCTCATGGTTTTGAGGCAGCACTTGAAGTGGATCCGCTTGAACAGACGGTTGCGGTAGGTCAAGCGGCACAAATCACTTGCACAGTAGACGGCGAAGCATCGGACCACTTGAAATGGCATAAACTTGTTGAACATCATCTACCGGATCATGCACAACAATCCAACGGTGTGCTACTCATCCATAATATTCAACAAGCGGATGCCGGCGAGTATGTATGCACCTATGTTGATCCTCACGCTCATCCCGACACACCACCTGGTCAAGGCGTTACAGCCAGAATCAATGTTGAAATGCGTTCGTAGTTTTATGTTTTTTTGTTCCTGTTTCAGACACGTTATTGTAATCAGTTATTACATTCATGCAAACATACGTATATGAATTGGATACATTTTCGAATGATTAATTCTGATTCAATTGATCACTTTTCACTTACACACTCACTAATCACTATCAATCCCTTCTTTTCGGTTCACATCATTTTCTGGTTTCAATCAAGGTTTCCAGACACACTTTTTATTTTTCCCAACAACTTCATTCTACTAAGTATTTTTGGGTTTTTTAATACTTCTTCCATGATTACAAACTGCCAAAAGAATGATATCGACAGATACATACATAATCCATTCTCTCTTCAATCATTAATTCGTACCTTCGTTTGCATTCTTTCAAGCTCTGCACTGTCCACTTCTCCATATTGCTGCCATTATTTTTCCTTCGTAACATTTCAGCTTTAATGAAACATTCCACTCCTAGTTTCATTCTGTCTAGTGAATTCTACCTAGTTGATTCCCTCTGTTGATGAGAACAAACCCTATTTTCCTCGTGTTCCTCTCACTTTTTGATTACAGCGGATAACTGCCATAAAACATCTCTGGTTGATCGTCTATCTTCGACTGCCTATTCGAACATTTCCAACTATCCTCATCCATATCACGTTCATTAACATCGGTTCACTGTCGATTAATCCTAACAAAATCTTTATTTCTAACAATAACATCTGATTACTGCATGCTAAAATAACTCAACTCTACGATACACATGATGTTTGCTAACAATTCATGAAATCAGTATGTTGATTTGTTCTCATTATCAGTTGCTGTTAGTTGTAAACGTGTTCTAACATTTCGAAACATTAATCTACTGAAACTGTTGTTCGTTTGTGTTCGAATCGATCAAAACTGTCCGAAATATCAGCTTGAATTGACTTTTCAATATCACAACAAGACTCGAAGAAAATTCGTGTATGGTTTTGAGGATCACTCTCGATGTCCAATATTCCATGTTATAATTTCATCATCGTCACAATACAGTTCTGTTTGACGATTGTCTCGTTGGTTCATATTTTAATTGATTTTCTTTTTGGTTTTCCATATTATTCACTTGTGTTATATTCAGTTTGCACTCTACTAGCAATTTTATTCTGCACTTTTGTGATCGATTTGCGATCTGTGCTCACAACATCTTCGCGTCCGCGACATTTAGTCGAACCATTCAAAAGATAAGGTCAAACCGAAAGCTGATTGGAGCCTATGCTTATGCTCTCTCTTCAGTGAATAAATGTTCGTGAACACGAAAGTTGTGCTGTCATAAATATCTTTTTGTCTCACACACATTTTATTTGTCATCAACATGGTTGTGTCTTTTGTTCGAATACTTATTTACTAATCAATCACATATTATTTGCAATTTTTTTAGGATGTGCAATTCGTATATCTAATTTCTTGATATTCTTTTGAAGATATGAAGTTTGTTTATTTGTTTCTGTGTTGTTGTTGCCGTTTCGTTGATGTTGTGCTTATGACACAATCCTAACAAACGCATTACATATCAAAGCGCATACAGCATAGTACCACAGTGACCGATACAGACAGCTTATTGCAGAATGCTTAAATGATAACCTCATATCATATGACACTACTACTACCAATGTGTTGCCGTCACCTTTGAAATTGAGTATCACCGATGAAATCAATGAAGAATTTTAGCCGTAATACCCATAGTCGACCCGCATGAGCAAACGGTTCCCGAGAATCACCCGACACGCATTCGTTGTTGGGTTCCCGGAAATCCAGCTGCATCGTTGAGCTGGCGTAAACACGATGGTACATTCCCATCGGAGGTTGAAGAGCGCGACGGTATGTTGCATATACCACGAACGACACCTCATGATGCTGGTCATTACATTTGCTCAACGCATGACCCAAGAACGGGGTCAAGTGTTGACTCACTACCAGCACGAGTGATTGTTGAACAGCGTATGTGAATTTGTTTCAGTTATTATCATATTATTCTTGGTCGCTTACACATACCATCACGACAGCTGCATCTATTTAGCTGAATCTCACAAATTGTCAATCTGAATGAAACAGTGCAAACGAAATAGTCCAAAAACATACCTTTAAGTCAAATGCATCCAGGTGAACATGGGTATAGCTTATAGCTCATTTTGGCGTATCAGATGATATTGGTTTGTCATCATTCAATTAAGTACAAAATTATCGCATAAGAACAGTTCCTTCGCAAGAGGACGACAGCGAACGAAAACTGAAGTCAGAGTTGGAGGAAGAGTCACCAATTTCATAAGAGTTTCTTCAGCTACCAAGCAGTTTTCCCTGTGCAAGTTGATTGCATGTGATGTGTAACCTCGCATGTCTTTATGAGATCATTCTCAGTTCGTACCTCCTTACAGTAATTTTACATCCTCATACTCTAACCCGCATAACATTGCTTGACGTCCATCATTTTGTTGATTGGATTTTCAGGATTTTCCTTCATATTACGCAATGACCGTAATTTCGTCTAATGTGGAGAAGTTTGAATAGACTCTTTGTTCTTACATGGTTTCTTTGTTGAGTTCAGCTTTTGCGGATTGTCTCTTCCCAAAATGACCAGAAGATGCCATTCTAAAAATTATACGTCTGTCTCCATCAGTTCCTTTATCGTATTAGTAATTTCATTTACATTCGTCTACTGTCGATTTTTAGCAGTGAATTGAACCCGATTATCACCATTCCTACTAGGTCCTCTGATATCCCATAATACGGATTTCCGCTAGATCAGCCCAAGTCAGTGAATAGTGATTACGTGAAATCTCAACCGCCGATCTGCAGAGGTAGAGATGATATACTACATGGGAAGCTTCGAACATATTTTATGCAAATGATCTTCTTCTGAAGTATTTTCACTCTTGAAAGTGAAACGAAATTATCAAAATATACTTTCATATATCCTTTAACAAGTTTTTGCTTTCAGCTGAGCCAGCACGTTACGAGCCACCAGTACGCGCTGAACGACGTATGTTGCTTTTGCTTTCTTATCCCTTTGTTGCTACCAGTTTCTGAAATCTATTCATTCGGAAAGGTTTCTGATCCATTCTTCAGAAAGAGACTTTGATTTTACATTTTTCATAATTCTT